ACGAGAGGTCGCGCGCGCGTGGAGGAGCTCGATGGGCCGCGGAGCCCCGAGCACCCTGGCCTCGGGCACGGGCGCAGCGGGCTCGTGGGGCGCGCGCGGCGCGGCGCAGATTGGACGCCCATTGGCGTTGGGGCGCTCTGAGCTTGTTAAAATCCCGTATTCCATCTTTCATCTCTCGTCTAAAATGTCCGCATGGGACAACGAAAAAACACCCAGCATCTTCTCTCACGACCCCGCCACACCACTCCTCGCATTCCCATTCCACTCGCATTCGCAGCATACATACACCCCACCACAAGGATATCCGGAACCGCACGCACGCACGCAGAAGTAAAAGAATACAATCCAATGTACCACCCCTCTCCCTGCCCCTCTTTCTAGTTCACGTTTTATCTATCGAGCATCTTTCTTGGGCACGCATACCGCCTCATCTCATCTATCACATACCGCCTATATCACCGCCATACTGTCTATATCACCACATACCGCCCGCACGCCCCACTATATATCAGCATCGGCATCGGCAGCGGCGTCATATTGGGCGCAGCGCATTCGATCCACATATCGTATTAACCCACCCACTCACTCGCTTCGTTTTTCTTTCGTTTCGGTTTCGGTTTCGCATGGGGAGAGAAGAAGAAGTAAACTAAAGAACAAGAGCAAGAACGAAAGGAATAAAAATTGATGCGTTTTGGTCGTCTTTTTGGGCTGAGGATAAGCTGAGGACGCGTTGCGGTTGTGATTTCGAGTCGACTCTCGCACATCGTATTCGATCCACATATCGTACTTGCCCGCCCACGCACTCACTCGCTTCGGTTTCTTTCGTTTCGGCTTCGCATGGGGTAGCTAGGGAGGAGAGGTAAACTAAAGAACAAGAACAAGAACAAGAACAAGAGCGAGAACAAAGGGAATAAAAATGGATGCGTTTTTGGTCGTCTTTCGTGCTGAGGATAAGCTGAGGACGCGTTGCGGTTGCGATATTCGAGTTGAGTCTTTGTAATTGAGGCTCTTGGCGCGTGAGGAGGAGGAGGATAGCTAAATTATGGGTGGCTATCCACAAGTCACTCCATCGTGCCTTACAGCACAACATACAACCTTCGGGGGGCGGAAAGCGTCACTACGATGGATGAACGCGTTGCGGTTGCAATTTCGAGTTGACCCTTTGCAATCGAGACTCCGTGTGAGGTGCGCGGTTTCTTTTTCTAAAAACAAAAAACAAAAAAAAACGCCCCGCGACGACGTCAGCGGCGTGGTGAGTGTGAGTCTAATTTACTTATTTAATCACACGTCGCCCGAATCGCCGTCCGCGTGGTTTCTTTTTTCTTTCTTCGGTGTGCGAGTTTTGGCGTGCGAGGTTGCGAGGGTGCGCCCTCCTTCCCGCGCCGCCCGCACGTTTTTCGAATCTCCGCATTCGCTCGTCAAGTTCGTCATCGTCAAGTTCGTCAGGGTCGTCAATTAAAAAAATTGAATTGTTTGCCGGGGTTTCGTCTCCCACTCGACGGCGACGAAACGATTATCGCGACATGTAAAATGGTTTATCATCTACGGAATCCGAGCCCGATTGGGTTTGTCCAACTTTTCGTCGCGTCGCTTTCCGCGTCGTCAAGTTCGTCGATTACAAAATTTGTTTAGCCGGCGTTCGACGGCGGAACGATTAATGCGGGGAACGTTTTAAAATTTATTCATCTGTGCGGCTCGCGCCGAGTCCCGACGAGCCCGCGAACGTGCCCCCTCGAATATCCGAAAGAGGAAACGGGCGCGCCCGATTTGGGTTAGGCTTTCGAACTGCGTCCGGTCCGGCGTCGGGGGGACTCGGGGACATTGAAGTGTTTTGTTGCGCGCGAGTCGGGGCTTGGGACTTGGAAGGCAGATTTATTTGGGGTCGGGATTCGGGACGGTGGTTGCGGATTTTGTTTTGATTGTTGCACAGAGATAGGCAGGAGACAGGGACGCCTTGAAGCAATTCCTCGTTATTCGGATCTCTAGATAAAATGGAGAGGAAAAGACGAGGAAAGGGCGAGGGACGCGGGGCGCGTAGCAGTAATCATGTGGAATTTGAACAGACCTCCACAATTCTACGTGTTCGCGCCACCGAAACGGTAAACCAACGAGGTGACCGACGCCAGGTTGTCATTTTTTCGATCTTTTTTTTACCCTTCAGGTGACGGTGGCGATACTGCTATCATGCGATTGAATTAAACTGAATGACATTCATTCGATCTAAGGCGGGGGCGATCGCGATGATGGCGACATATAGCTCGAGTACACGCACAACACTCATAGGGGACACGCAGCCTCCGGCGACGACAGACGGACAGATGGCATGTCATGGCACGTAGGTAGATTTTGGGCAGATTGGTTCCGAGTCCGACGCACGACGACGCACGCGGTCCGAGTCCGCGTTTGTGTCCGTACCCGTGCCCCGCGTTCGCATTGATCGAGGCGGCGCTGACGCGATGACGATGAGTACACTATACTATTTCGTCGAGGGGGGCGGGTACCGTGACTGCTGCGCAATATCCGCATCCCCACCTGATGCGGTGCCGTACCTGCAACAAATATTAGGGCTGTTTCAGGCGCTCGGAATGGGACTTGGCATATAGACGGATGTAATTGAACTCGGTTTGGAACAACGGTGATGGCGGCGCGGTGATGCACTGATCCTGCCCCCGCATTCGATGGTTAGTGCAGGAACCCGAGCGCTGATCTGAGACTTCCAGTGCGTCGGGAGGGGAGTTCGCTGGCATGATTTCATATGACCGTATTGGTGGCGTCGAGAGCCGGCCGGGGAGGGGGGTGGGGAGGCCACCTTGACGATTGATTGCGCTGGGCGCGCTCGAAATGTCGTCCCCCACTCCCGAACAATTCCGACGCGGGGCGCAGGGTCCGAACGCGGCGTCACGAGCGCACTCGCAATGGTATTTTGGGGGCCAGATGATCTGACACGGATCGCCCCGCGACATAAATAAATAGCTGGTCATGGCCACGCACTGACGCGCACAGCAAGTATATTTGGAGGCCGACGGTGAGTATTTACGAGTCCGCCGCCGCCGAGATGAGAAGAGGTGCCACGCCCACGCATAGGACCGGACCGCCAGCGAGAAAACAGCGATGCTATTGAGTGGAGAAGGCCCGGGAGAGGATAGGTTGCCGAAGCGAGGGTTCTTTCTGACCCCGCATTGCGGGGTGGAATTTCGGAAGCCACGCTATTAGGACGTCGGCCAGGAAAGCGTCGTCGTCGGGGGATGCGGATTTCGGATTTCGGATTTTGGACGCGGCGGCGGCGTCAGTGGAATGGAGAATCGGAGAGAAGAGCGGGGGTGAGAAGCGCGCGGGAATCAGCCGGCGAATGACAGAAAATATCAGCGACTCGGAGGATGGGAGATCGCCAGTCGCGGGAGGACTGCACATTGCATCATGCCGAGAGAGGATACTGAGATTTCGTATATGGGCGAGCGACGCGCCGTCGACAGGACAGATCCGGTTGAAAACTTAAATAATTAAGAGGAGATATATACGCAAAAGAACAGCAGCGATGCGAGTCGGCGAGGCGTCCGGGAGGCAGATACAGTAGATATAGACCCCGGACGGCGAGGGAAGTGCACCCGGGCGGAGCTACGCCGGTAAATTGTGGGTTCCACGCATTATAACCGTGACTGGAAGGGGGTTTGGGCCTGGGATCGCAGCACAAAACCGTCGAGTGTGCGGCGCGTCGCATGCTTCGAAGTTGCATCTCGGTATGCATGTGTGATCACGCAAGTTTGGCAGATGGTCGGTCGCGACCGAGGGGGCCCCTGGTGCGTGTAAGAGAAGAGCACATATCCCCAAGAAACGCATATCAGCCAGCTTGGCAGGAGGGGGCCTAGATTTAGATTACACCACAGCGCGGGAGAAACCAAGGCAGATCATCCCCAGCCGATATCATTGTCAGGAAATGCGTTGGGGAGACGCGAATAGCTGCACTTGTGCTGATGTGATGTGGCAGAAGCTCGACTGGAGTATTAGGGCCTGGGCACCGGATGACGAGATGTGCTATGTGCTAGGCAGGGGAGATGATGTTCAAGGTCGATTATCGCCGCGCGAGAAGTCATCCGCGCGTGGATGCTGCGTTGGAACAGCGAGACCGAGAAGATGGCGGCAAGTTGAAAGTTTAACTACGCTGTGATGGAATTGGAACTCCGCAGATGGGATCATTCAACTTCAACCCAAACTTCAACCACGACTTGAACGTATTTTGCTTTCCTTTCGACAGCCTTGCCTCAGTCGCATTTTGTTGCCAATTTCGAGCCTTCCGAGGACTTGCATTACTTCGTACTTCGATCGCAGTCAAATCAACGCATCAAGGGAAGACACCGTGATGGCCAAGTGGTGGTCCATTCTGCCCCACTTTTCTACGCATATTAACGGCAACTTGACGTGCCATTACGTGCCATGCGGTAGAACTGTCGGAAAGAAAACGTTCCGCTCATCCTTTGCCCCCAAAAAGGAAATTCCGGAAATCGCAAGAATTTACGTCGCGGCGAAGCCGCCTCTGGCATTTCCTCGCAAAAACAGAAGTCCTTGATTATTATCTCTCGAGCCACGGACTTGTGAGACGTACTTCCGACCGCGCCGCGGAGGTAACTCTAGAGAATCACCGCGGAATACACGGACTTGATTCATCCGGTTGCTGCAGCTCCGGCCATTGTCCACGAAGAATAGCGTACGGGCCGTGTTAGATTCGACGTCGGTCTGGGAACCATTACAGTGCAAACTGGTTGAGTATGCATATCCAGGCATTTATATCAATGTTACATGCATGCTTCTCGCCGGATATTAATCTTCGACCTAAACGGTTCTTCCATGGCTATCTGCATCTATCCACCGCACAGGCATCAAACGGACTGGACAGAGAAGTTGAAGGATCATTGGAAGAGGAACATCAACGTCGGGTACGTGTTAGTCCAAGGTGTATTTTGAGCCTGTAATCAGTTAGTTACTTGTCCGAAACCCTTCTCATCGGCCCAATGGTCTAGACGTATGATACACGCTTCGGGACGATATGTCCCAGCATTACGTAATGCTGTGTCTGTGTGTGGTCCCGGGTTCAATTCCCGGTTGGGCCCTTTATTTTGGACCTTAAGACGGTAGTCCCGGGTTCAATTTCCGGTTGGGCCCTTTATTTTGGACCTTAAGACGATGGTTCCGGGTTCACTTCCCGATCAGGCCCCATTTTTCTGCCCCGGCTGCGGGTTCGCTTACTGGTTGGGCCCATTGTTTTCGGGGCCGTAAAACACCTTAAGACAGTGGTCCCGGGTTCACTTCCCGGTCAGGCCCATTCTTCTGCTCCTCTTGATGGCAGCGGCGGGTTCGCTTGCTGGCTGGGCCCATTTTTTTGCGGCCGCAAACCACCTTAAGACACGCTTCCCGGTTGGGCCCGGTTCTAGGCCCTCATATCTCAACAGGAACTCTGCAAACATACATCAGGCCGAATTTCTGCATGAGGTCGAATTTCTGCAAGTCAGCTAGGTCGAGTTGAATTTGGTTCCCATCAAAGTAACCGACCTGGACAAGCATAATACAGTAGAAATTTGACCGTTTTTGCCATTTCAAATCATTTTGCGTGACTCAACTCTTCCGCCCTCCTTCCTCACCCCCAGGATTATTTTGGGATTTTAAGAGCATTATTTTGTCCTGGAGAGACGCAACAACGTTGTTCAACTCCGCACGTCCTCCGCATTCCCCACCGCGCTTGCACCCACTGCGAGTCACTCAAACTATTTCGTGATTGCCCTGCTTACCTTGCATATTTTCGTGGAATATTCCGCCCGAGAGAGACGCAACAAGGCTGCATTTCGATATCTTCTGTTCCACCTAGTCAGAAATCGCCCGCAATTCCCCCGGCATGCTTCCTCTCATTTCCAGCTGCTCGAAGTACTCCCACTTTCCCTATTCCTCTGGTTACTTTGGGGAGTTTACATGCGGTATTCCTTCCTAGCGACGTGCTACCATAATGATCACGATTTAATATGTTCAACTAAGGCGAGAGGTCCCCGAAAGTCCTCCCGCGTGCTCAACCCGGCGTATGTTATTAGCTCTTCCGCATCTCTCCCTCATTTCCCTGTCTACTTGGGGTTTTTTTGAATGGTATTCCTTCCTAGAGAGACGCAATCAGGTTACTTCCCAATCACTTCACCAATCCCAGGGCCCTGAGCGGCGAGCCATGTTCACTTCGCGTTAAGCGACGACGCGGCGGCTTGCAGATATTGAACAACGAGACCCACAGAACTACTTCCATTGTCCGGCGACTCCTGCCGACCGATAAATCCCGTCCTATTGCCCTCCTCTATGATCGCAAATGGCACCGCGACCGCCGCTAGCAAAATCGCGGGGGCTTGTTGATATCGTGGATTCCAAAGGGGATGAACGAGCAGCCAGGTAACGCCCGCGTCGGATGGAGATGTGATTCGGTTGTGATGAGTATATAGAACATTAACAGAATAGTAACCTAGACAAGCGTTGGCGTGCTCGGAATAAGTACCAACCGATGCCCAAGAGTACGAGGTAAGTCGTGATGATGATGCAATATCGGTTGAATATCCGACTTTAAGGTGCTTGAGGTTCGAAACTTGAATCGAAAGGCTTGGATGTAACGGTGATTTGAACAAGTGGGCCACAAGACGAGACACGCACGCCCCGTTGGGTCGCGACGTTGCGTACCGCGAGATCCAAAAGTACGGTGAGGTTGTCACGTTGTTCAAGCGATGACAATTGGCGAAGATTAACATCGAGGGAGCCACATGTGCACCTGGCAGTTAACTTTCGTTCAAGATGGGCGAGGTCAGGCATGCGGTATCGAGCCTCATTCAGTGAAGCCGCGAGGAGGCATTCCCTACGGACCAAACCATGTTTTCGAACGGGTTCGAAACTGAAAACTGAACCCCACGAGAACCGAAGAGCGATTTTGGCACAGTGCATAAAATAAGTGTACGAGTCGTAACGAGGAGCAGGCAAAGTTCCTGGGGATGAGGCGAAAACAGAAGTCAAGGACTGCTTGGAATGACCGTTGGCCTGAAACCGGCCATGTCGGCGATGTCCGTGAGTAGGTGTGAGTCTGATGCCAATTTCAGAGTATATAGTCAGAGACGGCCAACGTGTTGGAAGCGGCATGGCGGTCAGCCAGTAAATAGGCGAGTAGTAAATTTTGAGCGATTGGTCTGGCTTTGAAGCGTTTCTGATAGCTTCGGTCACCATGACCTTCTATCAGAAATTTCGGCAGGAACATGTCGAAATTGCGACTCGCACCGAAGGGAGAATTGGGCGACAAAAAGAGAAAGCTGAGACGAAGTGACGAACACAGCCACCGGTTCGTCTCTTTCCTTCGTCCATCACTCAGCTGCGCAGCTTCGCCAATTAGCTTTTGGAACGCTAGACTATGTTCTCTCTCAAGCGCGACAAGACTTCTATCGAATGTTGACTCGGACTTTGGGCTTGAATTTCTGGATGCACCTCCTGACTGTTTCGTGGAATGACATCTCGTTATGGACAAGAATGTTTCATTATTCCCCCCGTGTGTTACCGGATGACCCCGGGTTGTCTGTAAGAACGCGCTGACAGTGTTTCCCCGGCTCCTGGCTGCAAATGCGTTGTGGCATCGTGATTCCCTCTAAACATCTGATCTGCCAGGCTGAGGCGGTCTCTAACCAAGCTTCCCGGACTGCCCAACTCCTCGCTGCGATATCTCAGCTCGTGCCCGTACACCCCCCTTCTACACGACGACCAGGCGGGTCAGTTCCCCCGGTGGATGATAAGAGGCTGTGATGCGGACCGAAGGACCGTAATGATGATTTGTTGAGGAGCTCACCTGCGTAGCAGCTACAGCAGATACTCAGACTGGATCGTTGTATAGTATAGACCGCTGTACTGTCGGTTATACGTGAATAAGAAAGTTTGACTATTGTGCAAGTATGCACGAGGTGGAATTATGATAGTCGACCTTATGTAGGATCGTTCCGGGACTTTCTTTGTCTTTCTTCCTCTACCATTTAGCTTGTACCCCGTCTCGCCACAATTGATCCTCCTAGCCACCGTCCTACGCGGGAGCCTTCCCCCGCTGTGGCATCTCTCATTCCTACAGTCCGCCCCAGGTCACAGCTCGACTATTCCAGCACCTCCCCCGCTTCCGAGTCCACAATCTCCGGTACCGTGTGCCCCAGCCGGCTGAGTAACATCCTGACTAACCCGGTATTCCTAGAGCTAGAGCCCTCCCGAGCCCGCAAGCGTCAGCGTGTCGGCAGTCAAAGTTCCCCCACTAGCGCACCCCCAATCGATCCCTCTTCCTCTCGATCTTCTACTACCATGCGCTTTTCAGAAGCGGAGCAAGCAGACGAGTCGACTCCCTCCCTGGACGCCGTGGCGGGCCCGTCGTCGCTCGGCCTCGATCACCCGGGAACCTCCAACGGCCATCTGAATGGGAATGGCTTCACTGCAGTCGCCAATGGTGCGACTGTGGCCACTACGGCGGGCAATGGAGTGCAGAAACACAATGGCCACTCGAAACAATCGTCCGCGGCCTCACATTCGCTCTCGGTTGCGCGCGTGACGCTGCCCGGCTCAAGTCTGTATGACGACTCGGACGTCGACCGAGAAGAGTTTGTACGGCTAGTTATACAGAGCCTCCGGGATGTCGGTTACATGTGCGTTTCTCCGCTTTGTTTCATTGCGCATATGCTTATCAAGGGCGCTTGCGGGTAGTGAGAGCGCTGCAACCCTGGAAGCCGAATCGGGGTACGCGATGGAAACACCGGAAGTCGCGGACTTCCGGCGGTTTATCCTGGAGGCGCGGTGGTCCAAAGCGGAGAATGCTCTACAGCGTCTGGGCGTACGGGATCGCGAGGGGCTTTGGGTGCGTATCCTTAAGCTTCCGATGCGTGCCAACTAATGCTGCTGAAATCTGCGCAGGACGCGCGGTTTCTGATAAGCCAGCAGAAATATCTGGAACTGCTGGAGGCACAGAAGACCACTGATGCGCTGCAGGTTCTTCGAAATGAACTCGCGCCGCTAGACGTGGATTCGGATCAGCTACACATACTCTCCAGGCATGCTTCTTTACCACCTGAAGCGATAATGCTAACTCTGCGGTAGCCTAATGATGTGTTCGGAACCGGAAGATTTACGACAACGCGCAGGGTGGGATGGCGCAGCAGGGAATTCGAGACGAATATTGCTTGATAATCTACATCGTTCGTCTGACATTCGCCACCTCATTGCTTCATATTCACGCCCTTTGCTCTAGGCTATATCCCGCCATCGATAATGGTTCCCCCACGACGATTCTCAACACTGTTATACCAAGCAAACGCCTACCAGCGGCAGCAGTGTGTATACCACAATCTACCAACGAGTTCGCCAGGCTTCTCGCTCTTCTCGGACCACCAGTGTGATAAGACGGCTTTCCCCCGCGTAACAACGACAATACTAGAGGTCCATACTGATCAAGTGTGGGTATTGGATTGGAGTCGGGACGGTAATTTCCTAGCGAGCGCGAGCAAGGACAAGTCCGCTATAATATGGGGGATTAGGGTGAGTTTCTCCCTGTTCCCATGAATACCTCAACTTATTCGACTCGCCAGCCCGAAACAGAAACGCCGATACGGGAATGGGAGAAACGACATGTGCTGCCCCACCCGTATAATGTCCAATCTCTGGCTTGGTCGCTTGACGACACAATATTAGTCACCGGGGCGGAGAACCACATAAAGATGTGGAATACCAAGGTGCGTCCTGGTCTTACGTTTCGAGCGAATGCTAATCGATGTTCAGACGGGGATATGTATACGAACACTGGAGGAACATTCGGAACCGGTCACATCACTCTCGTGGCTTCCAGATGATTCGGGTTTCCTGTCCGCAGGGATGGATTTCAAGATCGTTATATGGGTGGGGCTTGCTTTGAATACCGCCGAGCTCATTATACTCACACCGCCGCGATAGAACACGGACGGACAACGGCGAGAAACGTGGGACATGATGCCTGTGCGTGTAACGTACATGGTTCTCTCCCCCGATTTCACGCGGCTCGTGGTAATTGGGATGCGTGCGCCATCGCCAGTGGATCCCCGGGCGG